ATAGTCAGTTGCAGCTATAGCTATGTTGCTCACTTCGGGGTCATGGACGTCGTTCGGCTTGGTGATGTTGAGCGCAAAAGGGGTGTTCGGCGGTGGTATGTTTTCAACCTCGACTCGGCATTTTCTTGCTATGGTAACTAACACATCATGAAGCTGTACATCAGCATTACCCATTCCATAACGTGTCGTCTATCAGTACGACTGTTACTGAACTACCGCCAATCACCGTTTCATCCACATCAACAATCACTGAGACAACTTGCACGACTAGCAACACTACCACAAGCATCGTGCTACCGACTATTAGTACCACCAGCATTGTATCACCAAATATCACTACTACGACCATTATTCCATCGAGTACTATCACCACTAGCACCGTGCGATTTAACACCACTTCGACAACTACTTACACACCAACTATCACCACTACAAGCAGTATACCCACGACGATCACTACATCTGTGACTTTCACCACTTATACTACCACACCTGTCTCACTGCCCAACCCATGTCCGACGACATGCAGCATGTAGGTCTACCATCGACCTCAAACCTAACCCCTTTATTATAGTTGCTAACTCTCTTCCTAAAGTTCCGCTGGAACCGTGAATTTGTTCTACTGGCCCACCGACAATGACTACTTGTACCCTTCCACATACGTGGATACGGCGCTCGACTACACCTTGTACGTGCACCAGTTCCCCCTTTCCCCCACTTATATTAACAAGAAGCCTAGCACGTCGCCGTCGGTATACATGGTCATCAACACCATATATGGCTACAACTCCCTCGGAAGAGCAGGTCCCGCCGCTTCCAGTCCAATATTCGCTCTGGACCTAGACGAGGTGTCGACCATCGTGCCCGGCGGGCAGGGGGCGACGCGGCAGCTTTCCCTGAGCGACCTGGGGACCGACTGCCCGCGCTCGTTGGACCCCTCGGTGATCGCGACGAAGTTGCCTGACGCGCGGTGCGATCCCAGTCTTGTAGCTCCGGACGCAGTCAAGTCGTGGGCCCTGCCGTGCAATGCATGTGGAAAGTTCGGGCTCTTCGATCCGCCGTACGCCGTGCCGACTCTGGGCGGAGGCCTCATAGAGACGACGACTACAATCACGCCCACGGAGACTACGGCCTTGCCGATCTCGACTACTACTCCGGCGGCTACGGGGGCAACTTCTACTGCGGTGGCGTCGAGTACAAGAGCCCCTATCCCAGTTCCTATCACTACGGTATCTTCGGCTGTCGCTACTAGTGACTTGACCACGATAGTCCCCAGTAGCACGACCACGATAGTCCCCAGTGACTCGGACACGGCTGTCCCTAGCGATTCAACTGTAATAGTCCCTAGCGATTCAACGGCAATAGTTCCTAGTGACTCGACTACGATTATCCCCAGCGACTCAAGTGCGATTATTTCCAGTGGTTCAACCACGATCCTTCCCAGCGATTCGACGACCACACTTGAAAGTGGCTCGACAACCGTTGTTCCCAGCGCCTCGACGACAGTCGTCCCTAGCGAGTCGACAACAGCAGTGACTAGCGACTCAACAAGTATTGTCTCACCATCAGCGACCTCCGCTCCGACCACGATAGCAACGGGGTCGGCAACAATAGTAACGAGTGGACTCACGTGCCTGGTGTTAAGCTTTTTGGCATCCATGAGCTTGATATGAAGGAACAGTGGGTTCAATGAGTACAGGGTATTACAACCCCTCGAACTATATCAGCCCTACAACGCAGCCCACGAAGCTCATCGTAACCTGTCAGATCATGGATGGATCCCCTGAGCGCCACTTCGCAGCCCACGCGCAGTATATACCAGCCTCACCCGCTATGCATGTTAATCATGGGACCTATTCTTAATATTCAATATTCTTGCCGCAAAAGCATGTCACCGACGCCATCATACACGAAACAGGAAGGCCTTGGATAATATGGTGATATTCCAATGATGATATGAAAGGGTTTTTTGGAGGGTATAAAACATTGAGCATAATTAAAGAGGGAAACATAAATGGAACATTCTCAGGAGCTTCCTAGTCGCATTAGGAGGATGAACATATGTAATCAATTATGTTAAAATAACTATAGAATCTGAACTGTAGTGTCAGCCCACCCGAAGGTACATGACGCTTCAAGCCCACTGAGATGTGTAGCTGTTGATCAACATTACTTGAAAACGTCTATCAATACCTAGCTAAATGATATCTCCGAAAGTATACTAAGACCGTCCGATGACCGGCCCGGCTAAGCAGATGGTTAGCACAACCCCGCAGTGAGATAGATAACTCTCCGGCCCTAATGAACATAATTAGCAACTCCTATCGGCCAGGGGATTGACTGTAATCTCACGGCTATTACAAGGAGAATCATGAGGAAACGTAATTGAAGGAGCCAACTGAAGTGGATCGTCTACGAAACGATGTTGGACCATTGTACATAACTAAATACCGAGTACCTCACTTCTGCCCCCATCCACAGATTTTGGCATCAAGACAACATATTGAAAAAAAAAAAGAAAAAAAAAATCATTGGGCTCAAGTTCATAATATAATCCTGTTTTACCAGCCCCTTTCACTGCAAGGTCTTGCCATTGATAAGCCACGGAGTCGTCATGTCGGAGCTTCTCGTGAATCTAGTCGCCCCTAATGGAGTCAAGTACGCTCAGCCAACCGGACTGTTCATCAACAATGAGTTTGTGAAGGCGGCGAAGGGCGAGACGATAGACTCTATTGACCCAGCGTGAGTTTCGAGCCTTGGTGACGCATATGATGTATGGGCGCTAACGTGAAACCATAGGACAGAAAAAGTGATCGCGTCTGTGCAAGCCGCGGGGGAAGAGGACGTTGACGCTGCCGTCAGGGCTGCCCACGCCGCCCTCAAGCACGACTCTTGGAAGCTCCTGCCTTCGTCTGATCGCGGCGCCCTCATGTACAAGCTGGCGGACTTGATAGAGCAGAACAGCGAAACCTTCGCCACCATCGATGCTTGGGATAATGGTGGGTCTAGCGAACACTAACTTCAGTTTCCCCGCAATGGTATGGGGAGATGTTGACATATCGTACCAGGAAAATCATACAAGGAAGCACTCGAGATCGACCTGGTTGAGTCGGTTCACACAATCCGCTATTACGCCGGCTGGGCCGACAAGAGGTACGGCCAGACCATCGACACCAGCTCGAAGAAGTTCGCCTATACGCTCCGCCAACCCATCGGGGTAGTAGGCCAAATCATCCCATGGAATTATCCCTTGTCCATGGCGACGTGGAAGCTGGGCCCAGCTCTAGCGTGCGGCAACACCGTCGTGCTGAAGGCGGCGGAGCAGACGCCCCTGAGCATCCTGGTTCTCGGCAAATTGATCAAAGAGGCGGGCTTCCCGCCGGGCGTGGTGAACTTCGTTAACGGGCTGGGCCGGGTCGCGGGGGCCGCGCTGGTCAGCCACCCGCTGGTGGACAAGATCGCGTTCACGGGCAGCACGGCGACGGCGAAGGCTATTATGGGAGTGGCGGCCAAGACGCTGAAGAACGTAACGTTCGAGACGGGCGGCAAGTCGCCCCTGCTCGTGTTCGACGACGCCGAGCTCGACCAGGCCGCCAAGTGGGCGCATCTCGGCATCATGTCGAACCAGGGCCAGATCTGCACGGCGACGTCGCGGATCCTGGTGCAGGCGGGCGTTTACGACGCCTTCGTGACCCAGTTTCTCGCCACCGTCAAGGAGGTCAGCAAGGTCGGCCACCAGTGGGACGAGGATACCTACCAGGGCCCGCAGGTCTCCAAGCTGCAGTACGAGCGCATCCTGGAGCACATCGACAGCGGGAAGGAGGAGGGCGCGACGCTCGCGGCGGGCGGGCAGGCGCTCCGCGACGCGGGCGGGCAGGAGGGCAAGGGGTTCTTCATCGCGCCGACGGTCTTCACCGACGTGGCGCCGACGACGCGCATCTGGCGCGAGGAGATCTTCGGTCCCGTCGTGGTGATCGCCAGCTTCAAGGACGAGGACGAGGCGGTGGCGCTGGCGAACGATACGACGTACGGCCTCGGCGCCGCCGTGTTCACGACGAACCTCGAGCGCGCGCACCGCGTCGCCGCCGAGGTCGAGGCCGGCATGGTGTGGGTCAACAGCAGCAACGACTGCGACCCGCGGGTGCCGTTCGGGGGCGTGAAGCAGAGCGGTATCGGGAGGGAGCTGGGCGAGGCGGGCTTGGAGGCGTACTCGCAGATTAAGGCTGTGCATGTTAACATGGGTACAAGGCTATGAAGTGTACTTGGGTATGTATCGTCAGTCCGACTAGGGGGTCGATGCTGTTACTTGTTATTATTGGTTGCCTCTTTATTAACGACTCGGGAGTAGCGGAATAAGCAGTTGGCCTGTTTGCTTGGACCTGGAACATTTTCGGGGGCTTTCAACTTTGCCCTGGGCTTCGAAGATCACAGGGGACCAGGGAAGTTCGGCAATAGCCAGCCTTATACTTCTTTGAGCATACTCATGATGTTGTAGAATATGTATAAATGGACCACGACGAGAGCGAATAGGTACAGCTCATGGGTATCTTAAAACCGAAGGAGGTCATAATTTCAAGGCAACCCAGTTGGTATTTGTCATGGGCTTGGGTCCGGGGTGGTTGGAAAGATGCTTGGTGGGGGGAAGGAAGTAACAGGATAATTCGCCTATGTAAGCTATAGGGAGGAAACGGCTGTTACATAGCCGTAGAAGGCCTCATTCCATGGACTGATAGCATGTGGCTGTACGCCAGCGATGGGTAGGAAGATCTGGAACCACCAACTTCAAGCCCTTCCCGGTCAGAAAGAATTCACTGGAAGTTTCGTGTATGGACTATACGGCATCCCTATGTGGAATCCACTCAATAAGACCTCTTGTTTTCGGCGTAGCCCCACGACTCGAGAGTTTGCCATGTCCGCTCCGTAGCGAGAAAGACCGCCAAGAAGGTCTCTCTCGTATGATCGCCCTACGAACGGAGGGAAAGGCAAAAAGGCAAAAAGATTGTCCTCGGCCAGGATCGAACTGGCGATCTCCGGATTGCCCAATCTTGAGATTGGATCATAGGAATCATGAAATGCTATGAGACCGGCGCTCTAACCAACTGAGCCACGAAGACTGGAGAAGTTGAAGTTGTTAGTAGGAAACGGTTTCCCATCTCCTACTGGCTGGTCACGGAGAGGCTTGAACTCTCGGCTTTCGCATTACTGAATGTATTCCCAAGGATGGCAATATTAGTACGACACTCTAACCAACTGAGTTACGCGACCGTTCTTCTCTGGTTGTTGAGAAATTTTGTTTTATTTGGCTTCATATGGCGCGGGGTAAGAGTGCGGCAATTCTTCCACGGTTCTCTGCAAAACCCCCGCTATGCTAACCGTAAGCGGAATCGTGCAAATCGAAGAAGAAATCCGCCCAATCACAGGAAAGATTCCGTCCTAAATAGAGTAGTAAATTTTCGGTGCGTCATTAGTTCAGACTATTACATACAGTAGGTACGGTAATAGGGGCTTCCGGCTCACTCACTACCTGGAACATACTAGGATAGGAACTTGGCAAGCATGCAAGAAAAACACAGTTGTGATAGTGACGATGGTAAGAAGTGAAACTCATCATTCCTAATCAGCAGGTAATGGTAAGATATAACTATTAATCTGTGCTGAAGGCATTTTATGGGCAGGATTGGCCAGACGAAGATGCAGCATTTGTAAGTCAAACCCAATGTTAACTCCGTGGAAGGTATAGTCACAGGTCTCCGATACATGATCGCAAAGCATCTCCTGCTGCCAACAGCAACTCAACCGCGGGGCCAGTTCAGATGTCATAATACGTTGAAATAGTTGCGGTTACTATGGATGTGTGATTCAACGAATCATTAATCTGACTAGATCTGACAAGTCTTATGACCCCTTTGTTTTGGCTTGGGCATCCCTTCAAGTAGGAGTAATATTGCTTCGCAGTTAACTGTAGTAGTTTGATTCTAGTTTCCCCCGAACTCACAGCTGTTGCATCTTATCCTACTAAGACGTTCAAATGAGGAAGGGGGAAGAGATGTCATATAGTCCAAGATTGATGGCTCTGTCGCAGAATATTGTTTCGTGAGTAGCTTTTGTGCCTAACCGGTTAGATCATCAGCATAGAGCCCCAACACACTACGCAGATGAACTGTGTCCTTCACGAATCCATACACAGGTTCATAGGTATCTCAGAACTCAGGTAACCGTGCCGTCCCATATACCCGAAGGTATATTACGAACATTACGCCACTTGCTAGTGACCCGAGGTAGTTCCCCCTGCGCGTAAGTTAACCCCCCCCCCCCCGCGCCTCTTACCCCTATTTGGATATATGCCTTCCATTACACAAATCCTATTGACCATGACCGCAACGCGTGACACTCACCGCGATCCAGCCACGCACTAGTTCAATAATCCGTCATCTTCGATACTCCTACGATCTAATTAAGTACAATCTCGCCCGCCTGTCTGTCTTGGGACAGCAAGTAGCTCCCGAATCTCTAGGCTCACTTACTCTACTCAACGGACGCACTCACCAACCAGACGCGAAGCAACGGATATTACGTGGGATAACTGGTACCTACCCTGTTAATCATCACGAAGGGACACATATGGGCAAGGGGGCTATGTGTATATGAGCAACGCTTCAGTCATTCAATCAGTTAGTCAATCTCAGCAAGAAAGCCTACAAGTACATACATGATCTGACCAACTGGTAGGTAGGTAGATAGACAGATAACTAGTTGAGCGGCGGGCAGCAGAAGCAGCGTCAATAACACAAAAACACAAACTGCACACACATAGTCTTGACACACATACACATACACATACACGTGCCGGTAGGTATCTGCCTGTCTGTTCCGTCCGTTTCCCACCAACCAAATCTAATATGCGGGCGCCCACGCCTTTCCAGCCTGCCTGCGTTGCCTGAGTTGCCTTGCCTCCTTGCCTGCCTGTTTTTGCCAACGTGTCTTATTAACTATCGTTTCTTTCTTTTCTCTCGTGCCCCCCCCTCCTTGTCTTTGTTCATCTCGTAAACCTCGCATGGTTGAAACATGCAAGTTTTCCATATACACCCCGTCTCCCCTCCCCTTTCCCCGGAAGCTGTGAATTATGGCCTAGACACAGTCTCCCCCCGTCAAATATCTAACATAAACCCACGTACCGTTTCTGGAACGAAGCCGCTACGTTACGCAGCAAGCAACAGCGGCCCTTTTGCCTCATGTATTGTCTTTTGAATTTCGCCCCTTCCTCTCATCATGTAATTATGCATGGTGAACCGGCTAGTTATCTATACCTTGAGCATCTTGGCGGCGTATTCCTCAATCAGCTTCTCAGTGGGGAAGCTCAGCTCCTCGAGCTTCTGAGCATACGGCGTGGGGACCTCGGAGCCGGTGATACGCTGGGCGGGAGTGTCAAGAAAGTCGAAAGCGTACTCCATAGTCAGGGCAAGGACCTCGGCACCGACACCGAAGGCGGGGAAGCCGGACTCGACGGACAGGAGGCGGCCAGTCTTCTTGACGGACCGGACGATGGACTCGACGTCGAGGGGCTTGACGGATCGCAGGTTGATGACCTCCGCGTCTACGCCGTAGTTCTTCTTCAGGTTCTCGGCGGCGACCAAGCACTGGCCGACGGTCCGGGAGAGCGAGACGATGGTCAGGTCCTTGCCTTGGCGCTCGATCTTGGCCTTGCCGAAGGGTAGGACGAAGTCGTCCTTCTGGGCGGCCTCGGACATGGGGAAAGTGACACCGTACATCAGCTCGTTCTCGAGGACGACAACAGGGTTGGGGTCGCGGATAGCAGCCTTCAGCAGGCCCTTGGCGTCCTCAGCGGAATAGGGGGAGACGACCTTAAGACCGGGAATGGAACCGTACCACGAGCTGTAGTCCTGGGAGTGCTGGGCACCGACACCAGCGGCGAAACCGTTGGGGCCGCGGAAAGTGATGTTGCAGGGTTGGATACCACCGGACATGTAAAGGGTCTTGGCGGCGCTGTTGACGATCTGGTCGATGGCTTGCATAGCAAAGTTGAAGGTCATGAACTCGCACTAGAGTGTCGCGTAAATCTAGTCAGCCAGGATGCTTCCGTCTCGGAGTTTATGCAATCTCTCCCAATGCGACTGCCTCCAGCATCTAGTCCTCCACCATTGCGCAAATCTCTCCCTAGTCGCGCGGAATTTTTCCACGCATGGATATAGAATGTCTCTACTTACGATGGGGTGGAGTCCACTTAACGCGGCACCAACAGCCAGACCGGTGAAACCGCTCTCCGTGATGGGGGTATCGATCACTCTCCGCTCGCCGAACCGATCCAACAGACCCTTGGTGACCTTGTAGGCGCCGTTGTACTGGGCAACCTCCTCTCCGATGACAAAGACCTTATCGTTGGCCTCGAGCTCCTCAGCCATGGCCTCGTTCAGCGCATCTCGAACGGTGTAATCCTTAGTGCCCTTGGCGTCGGCGTACGTCCTCCTCTGCGAGACGGCCAGCGAGGCGGAGGCGAATCTGGGGAAGGCGCGGGGGGCGACGGGAGCGGCGACGGAGCGCGCGGAGACAGCTAGTCGAGCTGCCGGACGGAGGTATCTCGACATGGCTGCGGTGTGGTGAGGGCGAGGCAAGGTGCGGTGAGGTGACTGCTGGATTTACGGGATGTGAGCAATATCCTCAACTGGATTCGGGGGAGATCAGATAAGGAAAACGAAGGCGAGTTCGGACAGTCAATTGAGTTAACGGTCGGCTGGCATGAGAGGGCAGAAGGGTGAACAGGCCAACCGGCGATAGCTTCACGGGGTTTCTGGGTTTGGTTCAAGGAATTGACTGCGTACCTGTCTCTATCTCTCTGCTCTACGGGTATGGAAATCTGCTGGGAGGGAAGGGGAATTGGAAAAAAGAGGCTCACAAGGTTGAGAGGGAATTTTTAGCTGCCGTAAGCTTTTTTGGGAGTTGCAGGCCAATGGAATCAATAAGGGCCAATCAGATGGCCAGTGACAGCTGCTGCTAGCGCTAAGAGCCTAAAACCCGCCCGTTGGCCTTGTCTTCCCGTGCGTCTTTCCTTCCAAGGTTGCTGGGCTGCTGGGCTGCTGGGTTGTCAGCCCAGCGCCCTGGTCCCTTCCCAACTTTTTTTCTCGGGCGGATTAGGAACCAGCAGCACCCACATCTTTGGAAGCGGCGGGCTTGTTGGGTTACAGATATGACGCTAGACTTGACTCGGATTACTAGAGCCAGTGCCCCGTTCCGAAGCTCCTCCGATCTCACCAGGCACTCACCAATCGCTCGCCAGCGTGAGGTCAGAGGGCCTGTTGGGTGTGTGACATTGAGGCAGGAGCTGAGGAACGATTCACTTATCTTAGAGGCAATGCCCAGGTGACCACGCGATGGAAAAAAGTCAATTTCAAAATAATTAACCAACTACGTTAACATATGGTACTTGCGTCATCCGAGTCGCGACATTTTCCTTTTACGCCTGTATTTCCGCACTTCCGCATACATCGCCGGTGGTAGTTAGCCTCTGTTTATTTGCGTACCTGCCTACGGGGCTTATCTCGGCGAGAACCGGAGTATCTTTTGACTGCAATGGGTGAGCACCTGCTCAAGACCTGGATCGGACCCTTTGAATTTATATGTAGCAACATTCGGGCCATTACCCACCGGAAGGACCGGCTGGCCTTAGTACGGCGCAGCAAAAGGGATTTCGGCTGACATAACTGAGAGAGATCGATCAAGTAGGTAACAACTCAGTCAATTAACCGCGTACACCATCCCCGGACAGTCTCTCCAATGCAGTAAGCCAATACTGATGAGCTTGCGACTTTCTCGTCCCTTGGATCGTCTACTTCTCGCATATCTCCAATGGAGAGGTTCTGTGATACCTATGTGGCATGTCACGCGGGGATATCTGGCTGCTTTCTGCCTCTGTGAGGATGCACTGCATTCCTCTTATAAGACGCCGGGACTCCCACCGCCATTATCATCACCACCACCACCACCGGCGTTCGGGCGTAGGCACGAGAGGCTGCAAGGAAGAGTACACCGACAGCCCAAGAAGCCACGATGAGCGCCTGGCGAGAGTGCTGTATAACGTTCCCCTGAACCGAAGATGTGAGTGGCTGGTGACTATCACGCCGACTCCGGGACTCCCTAGAAGATTTCAGGGGTATAACTGTGTACCAGTCTTGGTAGGCAAAGTCTTCGTGTTCTAAGATGGCCAACACGATCTTACTGTGGTTGTTGACATAGCGCACCGTAGAGATCCT